CCCATTTATTTTCCCATCAGCACCATTTACATGACTAACTCTATTTTCCGCATTTCAATCGCCGCATGATGTAATTTATTTCCGTTCTTTCTTTGAATCAGGAGGGCCATGTGTATGTGTTGTGTGTGGCAGGATTTGTCCCTTAAATAGGCAACAATTTCTTAGGCAATCCCTGCTGTAAGCTCTTATGCTCTTGTGCATGTTGTGTGTGTGTGTGTGTGTGTGTGTGTGTGTGTGTGCGTTTCTGGGTGTGTCCTTAATACGCATTAGTGTAGGTGTCTATGGGCTGATTATGCCTTTGCATCAAATCTTTTATGCTGCAAAATTCGCAAATGGAAATGTAAATTCGCTAAACGGACAGCTTAAAGCGCAAGAAAGGAAGGAAAATGTACTTTACTCTTATTATTTGATCACTCCATTTTCTTTATGAAGCGACTAAACACAAAACAAATACCCCGGCAATCAATTATAAAAGTTTCTTCCCCCTTTAGTTGCTTTAAACTTTCCCGTTAGCTGGCTGACGCCATTTAATGGGGGAAGCAGCACCCTTGACAAATCGGCATAATCGCTCTTGATTATTATTTGGCCAGTTGGTCAGCCGAGATGCCATTAATATTACCCTGCCTGCCAGCCTCTCCTGCTGATTATGATTTGTGGTTCCGTGTTGCCTGATTCTTGCATCCTTGTAGGATAGTTGAAAAGGCTAATTTCCCAATTTAGAATACAACTCAAGAACACACAACTTCAATTGTTAGTGTTGTCGCATTGCCCCGAGGCTTGCCTCTGTCTGTCTCATTTGTGGAATCCTTTAGACATGTGCGAGTGCTGGAACTTGACAAAGTCACTTAATTGCTGGACGTCTGGAGGGTAATTGTAATTAAGTGGAAGTGATTATGGTCCCAGAGCACTTTTGTACAACTAAAAAGTTGACTAACGAATGGAAAAATCCACAATATTTGATGTAAACCCTAAGGGTGAGCAAATAATTGTCAAAATATTCTCTCTTCCACAATAATTGTGTGCAAACAAGAGTACTTTCAACCAATAAAACAATTCAGTTATAAATCACAGGCCACAGCTTAAGGAGCTACTCGTAGCACCCCCTCTGAGCTACCGGAAGGAACATGTCAGTTGCACCAGACTCTTGCTCTTGCTCGGCCTTTGCCCAACCACAGGACAAGCTCCCACACAGGAACAGACACTCGCACAGGTGCCCCTCAAGTTCCACCCACACATTTCTCACTCCACCGGACAGGACAGAAGCAACCACAATGCCATGCCACTCGCACGCAAGCCACTCGCACTTCCTGTTTTTTGTTTCCATGGGCCACAAAGTCAAACGTCGCATATTAAACAACATTTGTCTGTCGCTTGACGTGCGGATCGAAGCAGCCCAACGCTCGAATGTAGGTTGGGGGCCCCTTCTATCCCCCCCTCACATCCCTATACACGGTGGGTATGTAGATACATATATTTAGACGTCCCAAAAAATGTTTCTCATTTCGTCAATAAGTGTGTTTGTGAAAAAAACTTAGAGATTGCCATAGACCATCAGTAATTCAAGTGTCAATTTGATTAATTGAGCGTTCTGTTTAGAGGTTTCCCATAGACTCATTGGGAACAAAGCATTCGGGCCGAAACCTTTTCCAAGCGCAGGCTGTGGCCTTGGCCCAATGATAATTCAATAAAAATGTTGCATAGTGCTGCCTTTGCTTTTTATAGAATTTCATTTCACAGCCAGAACGCCACCCCTCCGTTCGTCCACTCCTTCAATGGCTAAAACGGAAATGAATTTTTCCGCTTGACCTAAATCCCACACATGCATAAATCTGTTTGTGCTGGAATTCTTTTGTATCTATTTAAGCTTTAAGTTTTTGCATGATTTCGAGGTTCTTTTTTTGCGCTCTGTGTGCCGTGGCCGTGCCTCTCAATTGCCCCTCGAGCCTCGAATTGACAGGATAATTTATGCTAAAAGTGTTGAACGTGTTGAGTGGGTGATGAAGAGTGAAGGACGACCCAAAGTACACCAACAAATGGCACTCGAGGATGGGGGCACTAGAGAGTTAAGCTAATTGGGAATATCATTTTAATAGTCGGTGGATGCCATGACATTTGTGCCATTTTTGCTCGCTTAAAGCCAAACAGACAGACAGATAGACAGACATTCGTTTGCAGCTGCAGCTTGTTCCACAGCTGATATATTGTCATTCATATGTTGTGTCAGCAATTTGTTAGCTTTATGGCTGCCGCCACGCCCCCAGATGCCACAGCCACACAGCGCCAGCTCCACAGAGAGCAACGAAAGGGTGCAGAAAAAAGCATAAAACTTGCATACATAAATTGTATTTATGCACTCCACACACCACACTCTGCATTCTGTCATTTCCTGATTTCCAACGTTTTTATGCTTACGAGAGCTCCTGCTCTCTCACGACGGGGAAACGGTCGAATTAAAAAAGATAAGCTCCACAATTTCCATCTAATTTGAGATGGCAAGTAAGTAGCTGTATATGCCATTCCGATTTGGGCATTCTCTAGATACTTTCCGCATCGATTCCTCACGAATTTTGATTTCTCTTCTGTTGGTTGGCCAACAATTTCAACTGTTGGGAGTTTTATGGGTTCATATATGTATGTATCTACATATACTCGTACACATGGACATTTGTATGTCAGTTTGTTTGTTACCTTGATTACAGTTCAACTTATTTTCTTTGACTCGGGGTGCAGGAGAAGTGGCGGAGGTTACTGAAAAGTTAGTTTTGTTGGAGTTTTGTCGGTTTCGTTTCAGTGCAAAATCTTTTTATATGGCAAAGTTTTTTATATAGCAATTTAAGGAAACTATAAATTGCATTTGCTCATAAGTTGCAACTTTTTCCCAGAGCGAATTAGACTGACAAACAATCCAAAATGCCGTATGTCAAGTTAGCTTCGAGTTCGAAGCCAAAAATCAAATCAAATTAAAAAATTCCTTACGATTTACAAGCTCTAACTGATTTCAAAATGGAGAATCCACGCAAAAGCGACCTAAAGAAGCTGACAAATGCCATCAGCTTTCTGCAGAAGCACAAGGACTCGCATGAGCAGCAGGTCATCGTGGAGGAGGGGAAACTGGCAGAGCAGAGCCTGGCAGCGAATGATGCATCCCACAAGAAAATCGATCAAATGGACAAGGTGCAGGAATTGCATTGGATGTTTTCGCAGGATTATCATGAGCTGAAGCTACTCAGCGAAACACTGCAGACCTTCCTGGACATGAACCAGGATATGAAGGATACAGAGTTCTACAGAGCTGCCACCCAATACATCGGCGAGCACTGCAATGAGTCGGAACTTGAGCCATCACCACAAATACTCAAGTAGCTACCAGATACCCCCGCATATCCTCCGTTGAGCCACACACAAAAAACTTGTTAATCTCAGCGCCTAGGTCAAAAGTTATGATAATAAAAGGACAACCAAATGGGGTCTTTGCTGTCCGCATGGACACATTAATCCGTGAAAAAGAAAACTTCCTGTTGAGATCTTAATTATGCACCTTTTCTGCGGACGGATTACCTTAGAGCATGCACTCTTCGTACTCCTTGGGTACTCCTGGGGACTGCCACTAGCCACCATCCACCGTCCACCCCTCACCCATCTCCCCACTCTCTACAATGTCTCTCCCTGTATCTTGCTGGGCAGTTGACCTGAAAAAAAGTGTGCAGCCCAACCGCATGCTGAAGTAATTTCTACTTAGCCACAACTAACTACGACCGGCATGGAAAAGTGTTGGAAAAAACTGAAGAGGAAACTTTGGAACGCCTCAAAAATTAAAATAAAGTGCCAAGAAAGTGAAAAGCGAGTGCCGGTTGCCCCATGCTACTTCATGGCACGTCGTGCCCTGTGCCTCGTGCCATGGTGCAGGATGGACGGACCCAGCAGCATCTTGAAGTTGGCCAAAGCCGTGGCCAAAGCCAAAGCCCGTCCAGAGGCAGCAACAGCAGCAGCGGCAACTTCCGTTCCTCCGGCCAGCTCCTTGCCACCCCTCTACCACTTCTTGTTTCCATTAGTTTCCTCTTTTTTCTTCTACTTTTTTTCTTGCGGCTTCCATGGAATAACTGTTGCCAGTGTACGTCCGTGTGTGTGTGTGTGTGTGTGTGGGCGGCCGTGTCGGCGGCTCTTTTAATAATTTGTAACTCATTTTGTACTCGGCACAGCAACAAAAGTAACGACAGCGGCAGCAGCGGCAACCCTTTTGAGTCCCGCTCTAGTCGCGGCACAAAAGGACCAAGTGGAAGGTGTTGAAAATAGAAAGTTGTGTGCCCAAAAGTCGCCGAAAAAAATAAGAAAACTCTTCTTGGTTTCAGAGAAAGGACATTGCATTTAGGTTAACAGGCAAATTAAGTAATTGAAGTGGTCCAAGAAACAAGAGTACAAGTGGTATAAGTGTGTGTGTGTGTGTAAATGCATGAGTGCCATTCGGCCTGCCCTCTGACCTTCGTGGGTTTCCTCAGAGCGGGAGAGAAACTCAAATTCGAAACGCAACGGCTACGGCTCAGGGGCGCCACTATGTAACGAATCGCGCCGCGTGGATGTTTTTGGAACTTCTAAAAATAAGTAGCCACCTGGCGGCATTTCTTTATATTCTTAAAAGTTTTAGAGCCACTGGAAATGAGCGACACCTAGCGGTATCAAGCCACCTGGATGATGTTCTTTTACAGATACATTAATAATGCGCCACTTAAGCATTTAGCGGCCATAAATGGAACCTTCAAGAAACGAATAAAACTCGTTGCATATTTTTGGAAGTAAATGTAAATGTCAAGTAGAATTGTAGTCGAAATGTAGAAATATGTATTTACAGTGGGCCAGATATTAGACATATTTCAATGCCCAAACCAATACAATGCGTTTCAGCAGCTCAGACATTTGTGGATCAAAAATGGTTCCCATTCTGATAAATAAATACATTTAATATCGATTATTCTTATTATCAGATAAAGGAGATAAACATTGCATATGTTAAGGGGTAGCAACAGTTTAATGCCAAAACACCTTAGAGCTATAGAAAATCGCGAGAATGGCAAGAATTCCCTGGGGAATCATCAGCGATGGGGCCGATGATTTCTTTTTCGGATAGTAGACTGTTTTCTTTGACAGCACAATCACATGTGGCGTTTGGCTAGGTGCTGGTGCGGGTGCGGGTGCGGCGGCGGGGGCATTAGGCTGCGCCACGTGATGGGTGGGTGGATGGACAATCGCAGCGGCAGGGGCTGGCACAGCTGCAGCAGCATTTTGGCTGAGGTGTGCTGGAAGAGCAGGAATTACTGGATGATGGGCAACCGACGAGGAATTGGTGGCGACCGGAGCAACCCAGCCCACTGGCGCAGGAGCAGCCACTGGAACAGGAAGTACTGCTGAAGGTTGTGGCATCACCGGAACAAATGCCGCACTCGGCGGCATGGCAATGGCCGGAGCAGGTTGATGGGCTTGTGTCAGTGTGGGGCAGATCAGATGCTCCGTTTCTGTGTAGGTTTTCGGGTTGGCGGGATTGGGCTCCCTGACGGTCTGCTTGTAGCAGCCATTCGCATCGCGTTGACCAGTTTCAATCACCGTCAACTTTCTGGGATCAGGTGTGGTCTGCACGACGATTTGGACACGAGCTGCTGGTGCTCCCGCTGGATAGTAATGATGGACCTGGGCCACAGGAGCTGGGGCTGGGGCAGCTGCTGCTGGCGATTGGTGTTTGGCCACCGCATGGCCAATCAGTCCACCGGCCAGGACGCCACCCAACATGCCCACACCTGCAGGAAGGAGAGTACATACATGAAGGTTACCTTTGGAAATACACTGAGGGGAATTTTCATCTCACCAAAAGCTCGTTTACGTCCACGTCCTGGGCGTGCCTGGCTAAACGGCACAAGCGTCAGTCCGAGGAGGGCAACTAGGAATAAAGCTTGGATACAACGACGTCCAGACATGGTCGGTGGAGGAATGAGCACGAGTGATGTGTGGTATATTTGGCTAAATCGGCGTTCAGACCAGAACTGATCGGCAATCATGCAACGCCTCTGACTCAGTGCCAACTTCGGCATCGAAGAATGTTTTTTCCACAGCGCAAATGTTTAAACAGTTGATTTTGGAAAGTTCAAGAAATATATTTATGTGACGCTTTAATTGAATTTTATGCGGCACATGAAACGCTCATTACCACGACCGTGGCTGTGTGTGTGAGTGTTTTTTACCTTGTGGTGCTCAGTTCTCTCTCCCTCTTTGGGAGGAGTGTATAAGAGTATCGCTTATGTCATGTTATAAATAAATTACCAATATCAATATCAGATCTGCCTGACTTTCTTCATCTAAATAAAACAGAGAAGCCAATGTAAGGGGTTCTCTTTTATTACCCTCTCAGAATCCATGCATGACATTCCCATTGCCTCGCTGCTACTTTCACCCCATCAGACCCGTCAGTTCGTGTCATTGTTCGGCTGTCATAAGTCATTTGTTGCTGTTTGAAGATATATCACAATATGAACTGAATATGAAGCAGCAACAATGAAGCAGCAGCCCCCGTGGCAGCCATAATGGAGAACGTATTTGTACGTGGCTTAAAGTGGTGTGATTTAAGTCCAAAAGTTGCCAAAAAAATATTAATGGAGTCTGTACAAAGAAAAACTCACCAAAACTTTAATTGTTTAATAAGACTCAATCTCACTCCGTGTCTCCTGGTGCCGCCCTTTTGGATTCCTTTGCTGCTGCTGCTGCTGCTGCGGCTGTGGCAATGGCAGGCGGCAGAAGTCTCGTACCAGCTGGCAGACTGGTTGTTAAGTTCGGCATATGGCACGTGAGGGCTCCATTTAATTTTTATAATCTTCGGGGCCAAACGCAGACAGTACACGACACGACACGCAATATGGTTTCTGTTAACATAAGGAAATGAAAGGCATGAAAAGGAGAGAAAGAGAGCCGGCTCTTGGGCGCTATGCTATTGATTAAATCGGCTTAAAGCTTTGACTAATGATGACAGAAGAGATCTCTTGCTCTGGCTATGGCTCTGTCTATAGCTTTGGCTCTGCCTGGAGGAGAGGAGAACATGAAGCGTTAGAGCGCATAATTCGCTGGTGGAAAGCGCCGACTCATTGGTCGGCGTCGGGGCGGGAGCTTGGGTCTGGGCAATAGCCACGGTGTCGAAATGACCTGCATCAAATGTTCAGAGTGCCATGAGAAATCTCGAGTCATTTGTATTCGGAGGATTTGCCGGCAATTTGTGAGACGCGACTTTAATTCGCTTAATAAATATTTGTTTAGTTTCTCGACTGCTTTCGCTCAGGTCGTGGTCTTTTGGGGGCAAAAGGATCCGCACACACACATAAACACACACACACACACAATGTACAATTGTCAATTGCAGGATATTCTCTGGCTTGGGGTGGTGCGGGTGTGACACTTGAGTTCCACTTCCCTGCCGGCCATAAATCATTCAGCTGAACGCTGAACCGAGATGACGACGAAAATGTCAGAGACAGGATGCGCAAGGATAGCTAAGGAGGACCGAAGGACGACCGTAAAGAGGCGGCAGTGCAGCTCTGTTGATGGACATGAGCGAACGGAACGTCTTGCGGCCATAGACCCACTCCTGTAAGGATAATGATGCGCAAATCGCTGGCAGTCATCGCTGTCCATCAGCCCAGCCCTTGGAACGGCTCGGCTCTGCTTTGTTTCATGTTTTGGCTGTGGCTTCGGCTCTGGCTCTTAGCCGCCTCTATTATCCTTAATGCGAGTCACTTTGTTAGAAACGTCAGTCGGCCTGCAAGCGCCATTATCATCGTCGTGTTGCCGGCCATCCTGGCTAGCTCGAGACAACAAAAAATATGATTCGGAAAATGTGCAGACACACAGGCCCCGCCCCGCCTTGTGCTTTATGCTTTATGCCCCAAACCAAACCGAAAATGCACGAAAATAAAGATAAAACATGACAGGCAGTTCACATTCAGTCATTTATAATAAGCCCAATGTGACGGCATGTGGCTCTCGGTTCTGCCTCCACACTTTATCATCTGCTTAGCCTCCAGTTACAGTCCGACGTGGCAGATGATGCACTGCAGATTGCACACGGCTAAGCCCGCTGCTGCTGCTTCTGCTGCTGCTGGAGACCTAATGAAATAATTGATTTAAGCTATTTACAAGCATCTAATTCCGATTCGATGGCCAGTCACTAAAAATATGCCATAATTATATAGAACTCTGCTAGTGCTGCTAGCAGCCTTGCGTCTCTTGTCTGACTTCTCCCGTTCGGGCCGTGGCTTAGGTTAACCAGACCAAAACCAGTCTACTGGCACTGGCTGCAATGTTAATGACATAATTTAAAAAGCATTTCATTAATAGTTGATGTCAGAGGCCCAGGAGGAGTCTGCACTTTGTGGCAGTTAAAATGCGGATGAAGAAAGCCAACGGACAGTGCCCCAACGTGGCTGATTGGAAATTCGAAATGTTGGCCAGGACAATCCAGAATGTTAATGGTAATTAAAAGCTGTTGGAATAGCAGATGAATGAATATGTTGCTGGCACTTTAAAGGAGAGGCTCTCTGAATGAAAGTTCAGGCACCCGAGATGCCTGCTAGGAGCCTTTGTCTACTTCCAGATTTTTTAGCATGAGGAATTCTTATCTTGAACTTTGGCATCGCCTTCGTGGCGGCGGCGGGTACACCAAAATATGTTTGCCATGCAACCCCCGAGATGTCCTGAGATGTCCCTTGGCCACAAGCACAGAGCATGTCAAATCATTTGTATATAATTCACATCCTTTTTGGCTCATTCTGCCTGGCCCAGTGATTTATGTGCTGCTCTGAGCTGCTCTTCTTGCTGCCATGTTTAGAAATGTTGTTTCTTCTCTCTTGTAAATACCCGTACTCCTACCCGTACTCATACTCTTCCTCATTCTTGTTCTCGTTTTGGGACAGATTCCAAATTGGTCCGTGCAAATTGTTTGCCTCAGCACTATTATCCTTTTCGCAGGATGTTGCTCTTGCTGCTGCTGCTGCTGCTACTCTTGCTTGACTCTCTTTTTAAGTAATTGCTGACTTCTGCCATTTCGGCGGTGAGTTATTCGTTTTCGATACGAAAATTTGATATTCCGACCACATGCTGTGATTAAATTGCTTATGCCATCTACTCGTTGGCCCCCCCAATCCTCATATCACAGTATCGCATCTCCAGGAGGTGTCCTAAGGTTCCTTTTGGGTTTGTTTCTGTAATTGAAAATAGTTTTTGGCACTGCGAGATAGAGAGAGGCGTGACTGCGATTGCAACTACTGATTTCAACTATAGATGGGTGCGAGGCACATCTTTCCTTCTTGAAGGGTATCAAATGTCGCAGTGCACCGAAGAAATTTACAATTGTTTTCCTCTGTATTTAATTTCCCAACTTTTGGACCCGCCTGCTGTGCCATTTATCATCACTAAAAACAAAAACTAAAACCTTTATGCAATACTTGAAAATGCAAAATTTTAGTAAATTGAAAATCGAGTCTCGAGCATTGCGAAACCGCAAAACCCATCGCCCAATAAGTTTTCCAACCGAGCAGCCCTGTCCGGCCAAAAACATCAAGACGAACGAACGAACATGTGCATTTGTCATAAATTAGAAACTGTAACTTGTATGGTAGTGACTTTTTGTGTAGTGCTCTGGTCGGTCCAGGCAACACTTAAATTTATTGCAAATAACTCTTTCCCTTCATAACTTTTTAGCCAACCCACCCAGTGGTCGGAGTTTGGTTTGCATTTCCCTGGTGTTGGGTTAATTTTTTAGCTAAGCAAACTAATCAACGCCCCTAATTCGGACATTGTGGAATGTGGGCAGGAAGGTCGCAGAGTGGAATGGGAGATGCGAGTTGGTTTTGGGTATGAGGCAACGGCCAGAGGCTAAATGAAGTGTGCCCAGACGCAGACCCCTTTCAATTAAGACTATAACTGAGAGTATTCGTATCTCTCTCTGTATATGAGTGAATGTGTGTGTGTGCAGTCAAAAGTGAACAAACAACAACCAAATCTGAGCCGGGCAACGCATATAAATCTTGGCCTAAGTGTTGTGGTCATTTAGCAAATGTCCAGCCCTGTCCAGCCATGCAAATTTGTAACCAACTTTTGCTCTACTCTACCCGTACCTTATCGTCTCTGAAGATGGGTGCTCTCTGTGCTTGTGATTTATAAAATGTATTAATTAAAAAGTCCCAAGTAAAATACTTAAAACAATGGGAGGCAGATATGGAGAGTCGTGGCAAGGGAGAGGTGAATGGTGGATTAAATGGACCATAAGGAGAGTTCTTAAAGTCAACATTTATTTTGTAAATTTTTAAAAGAACTCGTACAAATACGAACCAATAAAAAATCATTTAACTGCCTGGAGACAATTTTCCAGACATCTTTCTCAACTCCCACACTTTCTTTATTCCCACGTCTATTCGCATTTCTCGTGTCGGAACTCGCTTTCTGCACCCACACATAAACACATAAGTGGTAGTCCTGTCAAAGTCAAAAATAAACGCACCGACAATAATGATTTATGTGAACCGAGTCGAAAAGCAAGGGACCATAGCAGCCAGGACACATATGAGACTCTGGTGATATGCTTAAGTAGGACGGCACCAAATTGGAGTTGGAAGAGCGTGACAAATGTGAGTATAATTTGTAAGACAGCAAATGGGGGAATACATTCTGAAATAGCAGACATTTCGCAGTGGGATACTGAAATTATTTCTGTAATTATTAAATACAAATAAAGCCATAAATCTTGCCAAAAATACTAGACCCATCATGAATGTTTGGAAAGTAATTCTCTTTAAATATATTCAACTTAAATAGTTTTTCTCTTCATTTTCCCAAGTGTCGAAAGGCCAATAAAAAGTTTTGTGCGAGACAGGAAAAAAGTTTTCCCCCTTTTGGGTGTGAAATTGTCAATAATGTTTGGTCATAAAACGATTTACAGATATTGGTCCTTGGTGTGGCAGAAAAATGTTCGTGGAAAAATGCTTTAAGAAATTACCTCCCTTTAAAGATTATTTGACAACAATTTAAAGCATTTAATTGATTGCCCCAGACATTGGCAGAAAAAGTGCCGACAAGC